CCTGGTCCCAACCCTGTAAGCACGAGGCAATATTAAGGAGCCATGTACCCTGAGACGGCCCAAACGGTCCCGTCATTTGGCAATCTTGTAAGCGACGACAGTTGGCTCGCCATCATTGACTCAAGTACGTGAGTCACTCTTGAGGATGGACTCCATTCACTAGCTGACTACCTGGGTCTTTCAGCTGCTACGACAGTAACCAAATATTCGCACGGACTCAACACAGCCCGCTAAACTCGTGATTTAGGCAAATCTGACTCCTTCCATGGTTCACCAGACCTGCAGCGCAGCAAGTTTTTTTGAGCACGGGGACGGCTAACAACCGACGCATAACGGGAAGTTGTCGTGCAGCCTAGTCTTATGTGTGTTTATATTTCGTGCCTATCTTGTCTCTTCTCGATGGGCATCAGAATGACCGACCACTAGCTTCGCTTATTAAAAATAACCAATTTTTCCCTCACTGCTATTCGTCTTCGTCGTGTTTCGCGGGGTCGAGTGGCATTCTGGTGAATATCGCTGTCTGCGCTTTCTTTTGCGACCAAAATGGAACGATGCATTTTTCGGGTTTGATCGAACGGTAGGGCTAGTGTTTTACACCTAACCCTCAATTTTCGTCTTGGTCGTTTTAACTTCCTTCCGTTGATCTACAATACCTCCCATCTGGTGACCCAGATGCAAACCAACGGCCCGATTCCCAGCCCTCTAATTCGGACTCCTACTTAACTGCGGCGATTTTCTAGGGCGCTGGGTTTGCTTCTTCACCGGAAAAGTGTAATTCGAGATGAGCAAAGGCGACGCCGGAACAACGATCGGTAACAGATTTCTATTTGCGACGTGCAACTGAATCTAGCGTACAAATCATTTCAGAAAAAAAATTTTTAAATGGTTGTAAGTTGATGTGCATCCAGTGTAATAGTTTCGTGGATTGCCAAGTGTAATCAGCCAAAACACGTATGTCATTTTAGACTAATTATCTAGTGTTGGCCATATTTTTTGTTCGCGTAACTGGGGCATCGTAGCATGCCTCTCATCTTATCATGCTTATTCACTGAGACCCTCAACGCGAACTTCCTCTGTTCTCCCGTAGTCTTTCAACTTTTCAGTTTTAAAACTTGCAACAATTTCTTCTTAAGCTCAAGGGAAAGCTCGAGGGTAATTTTAGTGTTGAGCACATTGCTTTGCAAACGTGAGGGTTGGCTCTCTAACACCTTTACGAGTCCCCCAATACACTCAGGGTCGGCCAAGTTCAGAATTCGCTCACTGGTGGCAGTAACAAGCAAGGTAAAAGTCTGACCCCTTCCACCCCTTCCCTGGCAGCAGTCGGCAAATCAATCACTTATTTATTGTCATAGTATGTATTTCCTAACTCCGTGTTTGTTGCTCAAGCCTATATTTCCCTTCTTTCCTTTATTGCTCCTTGTAGACTCAATATCCAGTCACCTTCGCGCGATTCAGCCTTCCACTTGTCGAGCAAAAAGCGTCGTCTTGATGTTGATTACGACGATGAAACGTCTAGTTCTGAGCTGCCTGAGACCAGCTCCACCGCCCGTTACTCCTTCAGAGTCTCCACCTCAGCAACCGGTGGAGTTGAATTCTCGAGCGAACAGGACGGTCAGGGAAGATGGGTTAAGCTCGTAAACTCGTCTGATGAGGTAAGAGACCTGTGGCATGTCACCTCGTTTGAAGCTCGCGTGTGTCTTTGTTTAGTTACTTTTAAGTCCTGCATCTGTTTGGCCCCGAGTTCTTTTTTGTCTGACAAGAGTGTTTTCTCATAGCCTCCATGTAGTTGGTCCTTTAGGTTTTGTGTTGGCGGATACTAATGCAAATTTCCTCTCCTCTTCTCTAGGAGATCAGCCTGGGTAATTGGGTCCTCAAACACCAAGCCGATGGCCGTGACTGCAGCTTCAAATTCCACCGTTCCGTGACTCTAAAGCCTGCTGTTACCTGCACTGTGAGTTTGAGAAGCCCCCCCCCCACCCTGCTAGGCACATCAGT